CTCGAACAGAAAATGTATTAAAAGTTGCCGTTAGGGCTGCTAAACGTTGGTTGGTCTTCGGTAGTTAGAACCGCGGAGTATAAAATCCTTGTGCTGATAGCATTTTTTTAATTAAAAGACACTTGAAGAATAAAAGTTTGTTTGATAATTTAACATGTTGTTTTGTATTACACTCTTGTTAAGAGATATCAGCGAGTTTATAAGTTTAGAATTGCTCGATAATTTTTCATTCATCTATCATCTTGCATATGATTAAATACCGATATGCGATATAGTGCCGTTATATTACTACATTTTACTTTTAAACTGCAGTTTTATCAAAGTTGCACTCAAGCCTCGCTTCCACACTATTTGTAGTTCAGCATAAAATATGAGTCTGCAACTGGACTTTCAAATAATAAAGCTAAAGTTATATCATTCAAAGTTAGTCAAAGCTAAAGGTAATCATTCAAAGGTTGCGCTATGGAAAGAAAATAACCTAAAACAGAAAATAAATAAAATAATTACTGATCCAATGTAAATGTGCGCTGCAAGTTCACTGAGTTCAGTTGTGGTCGCTGCAACACTCAAAACTTACGTTACATGCTAATTATAGGCAGTAACTTCAGCAGTTATGACAGCACCGTTATACCTTAGCATGTTATATCGGAAAGCTGAACGCTTTGCTTCAAAATAATAAACCAGCTCCATAACTATATATGAGTTATAAGGCAATTTTCATAGCTAGCGGAATCATTAAATGGCTATAAGTGACATACTAGGTATCAAATTTGTATGGAAAGAATATCGCACACAAAGTAGGCGAATGTATCTGTATGAGGTATGCGAAGTACCTCATAGGTAAAGCCTTCACCATGTTGATATGAATGTCTCGCTTCCTCTTGTTGAAAGAATATACTGTAATGCAAGAAGAGCATTTTAAGATACGAATGTGCCGATGCATATAAAAATGTTGTCATTTCAAGCTATTTGAAACATTTGAAGTCGCTATAAATGCCAGTTTGCTCGGTTACGATTGTCTAGGAGCCTAAGCATTATTATTCAACAGCTTCATGAGAAATTTGGAATTACTGAAAAAGGTAAAACTCGGAAGCCTTCCTTGCTTTTTCTTCGACAATCAAGCCGGTCCTACCGCATATTTCCGGAAATAATCATCCTTAAAAAACCATAAGGATACTAAAAGGCGATTTCGAAAAAGAAGGATATTCAATATCTGAGAAATAGTCGTTACATTTATTAATGATTTCCATAACAGTGCGTTTTTAAAAAAAAAATATTGGAAAAATATGTTGTAAACCTCATCCCTCTACTAATTGTCAACATCGCATTGCACTAATATATGTAAACAAGATAGGACACTCAAATTCAAATAAACTTTCGCGGGCTGCTTGTCGTCAGTTGTTGTGTTAGGTACCAAAATAAAATCAATTTACTCTTGAACCTGTTTCATATTTTAAGTCCTAAATTAAATAGGTAACCGTGACAAATATTAGTGATATTGAATAGATATAACCGTCACGAGAAAAATTTCTAGCACCTGTAAATTTTCGATAAAATATCTGGTCTTCTTTGGATTAGACAAGAGTCCGAATTTAGACGTCTCACCCTGTTTCTTACAGTCCATTTGCACAACAAAAATGGAAGCGTCTTATTTTGCTCGTCTGTCATAGTTTACATCACAACGATGCGTTCCTTGACGCTATACTATTGCAGCTCTTTTGATTCGTTTAAGCATCGAATGTGTGATCCTATCTCAAGTGAATAAGTTCAATGAAATTTATTCTGTCATTGCATTTTTGTACGACTGTATTGGATGATGGGTTAATTTGCGTCGAAAACATTTTGCTTAACTCTAAGACGAGTACCTTTTACCACGATACCCCTTGAATAACTTAGAACTGTATGTGCCTCTCTTTATATAAGTAATGGCATTTACGACAATCGAAAAAACTATGCGTGAAAGTTCATTTCAATGGAACGCCAGAAACAAAATACCTAGGCAAATTCCAACTCTTTTTTTTTTCATTATCTTTATCATCTTACATTGTTTTTTAAAACTGCACTTATGAGGTAATTTAGTTTTACAGCAATAATAAAAAATATACCATGGTGTAAGATAGCAAAGAGGTCTGTCTACCTGCCCTACTAAGATGGCTCCGAGCCACATCAGTTGTTCAGTTCTACGAACAAATTATGAAGGCCAACAAGCGGCTGCATTGAGACAAATCGTTGTGCGCAGTGTAGTGCAAAATATAATGTTCCTATCCATGTATTGCTTCCATGCATTATGCGATATAATTTCGTTAAAAAAAAATTATAGCTAGCTACTTTACTAGGGTATCAGAATTCAGCCTTAGCGATTCTACAACAGTTGGCGTCTAGTCTGACGTTCCCAGCAGTTAGTTAATTAACGCACAGATATGAGCCATGCTTCCATACGCCAATATATGAGAAAAACCTGTCAGATATGTCAAGAAAGCTCTATGTTTGTATGTAACGTTTCCGTTCTTAGACGTAAAGGTTTACAGCACGTAACGTATAATAAACCTTACTCTATAATATTTATGTATCTAATTAAAACAGATATAGCAATGCTCAAGAAACAACCTCACCTTAGACGCCACTAGGTAGAGTAGCTGAAGGCAGTTTTTTCTAGTCCAATGCTTGTTGTCGATTTGGCCACGAATTCACTAATCATTTTTTGCAACCTCTGCGTAGTTACTGTTTGAGCTCCAATTAACCCGCAAAATTTCAAATATCGGCAATTTTGAATTGCATTGTTACATGTAGCACATGTGAATATTGTTTCAGACCGCGTTGCTCAAAATGTTAGCCAAACGTCTTTTTTTTATAAGCAAACTGTTTTCAAATACAGTTGAGTATGTCATTGTTCGATTCTATAGCCATCATTTGAGCGTGATGTCTACGTGTTATAATTCATACTTATTCCAGAACTCATGTGGACATTTTGTCCGTGTAATCTGTGCAGGTTACATCTTTATCGGGAGCACCGACACTGAATGATTTTATCTTCGTATAAAAAAATAACGAAAAAATTTATCTGAGAATAACATAGTATTATTTAGAAGATCGAGCACATATGCATAAGTAAGGGTTGCGTTTGCATTGGAAAACGATAGGAAAAAGTATTTTTCGTGAAAGTGAAATGAGGACCCAGAACGCACGTATAAAAAGCACACATTAGTTTCCAGTGAAATGGCTTATTTGTACACATGTTTTTGAGCAACGAGAACTTTTTTACCGTTCTATATGGATATCTATAACATAGAATACACCCTTTGGGTGATATTGTCGGCAGATGACGGAGGTTCTTTTTGTTTTTCTGCACTCTTCGTGGATATACCGAATCTACACAATTTTCTATTCTTCCGACCCTTTTACTATTTAACGTTGAACAAAGAAACGAAGAAAAATATTCATTTTTCTATTCCTATTTCCAAAGCTTGTTCACATAAAAAATAGTGAGTCTAAAGAAAAAAGGACATCGAAAATTTTAGCCTTCTATTTGAATTGTTGTCTCCAAAGATTGCCTTTTACATTTAGTGTTTTGAATCAAGTAATAACTAAATGCAGAATAAAATTATGAGTATACCGGTTATGACCATGGGTAGCAAGTGTATTCACCCACTGCTGTATTAACAAGTATTTCAGAACACTGCTACCGCCTTGTGGAAATAAACTAGTCGATTTAATTTGTTCGAATCTGCGGTATGTTTCTCTCAGTATCCGACATATCTTTCTCAAAGGTTGGTCTTTAAAAACAGATAACATACATATTACTGAATCTAGATTGGCTTCGGAACTGGATGGAATTCGAAGTTGTACTTCAATTAGTGAATGCCACTATTGTCTGGAGCTAATGTATAGATTTAACGAATTTGAGACTCGCTGCGTACTTTATTGATCGTTGCGGAAAACAACGGTGGTCAAATAATTGCAGATTATGAGCGTAACTTGACCGTTTGATTTGCACGGCGAAAGTATTTAATGCGTTCACAAAAAGGCTATTAGAGCCTTAAATAATTTCGGCTAATAGACCAATGTTCATGGACGTTAAAGGTCAACAAGACCTCTGTTCAACTGAAGGGATACAAAGAACTATTTGATCAATCATTTTCGCTGTGAAAGAAACTATACACTTTATTGTTAAATATCCAAGCAGCATTTGCGACACGAAGCTATCGACTGCAGAAGCAAACCGCATAACGAGGTAACTGAGATTTCCTTTTCCAAGTAATAAGTTAGTATTATTCCTTGTGACAAACTGCAAATTATAGTTATACTATATGAACATGTTTTGGCAGGCGGGATAATGCTTCGTAAACAATTGAAGCAAAGTTAAGACATAAGCAACATCGAAAAACTTTGTTTGGTTTATTATAAGAAACATACTCCATAACAATGGTCTAAAGCATACTTGCAAAAACCGTGCTGCTTATACTCTAAGTTCAACAGATTACATTATAATATTAAACGATAAGACAAGACAAGAAAATGTCGAAAGACAAACAAACTAATTTAATACTGGTTTGTTTAGCTGCGAGAAATTTCTGGGGTCCCCTTTGGGCCGAAAGTTCAATCAAATTTTGCCGGTCTGCCGTACTCTTCAGTGCAACATTTGTCGCAGTGGAAATGCCAATAAAGGATTTTGTCAAATCCAGACAATATGTTCGCATGAAATGCTAAAGAATAACTTAAAATATTCTGTTTACAAGGGCCGGTTATGAACACCAGCTGCCGTAAATAGCGCGTGAGGCAGAGTTTTAGTATAATGCATGAAGATTTTATTACAGGAGCTTCAGCTCTATATGTTTTTACAAGTCACTACAAGCGTGATTTGGCAAACTTATCGCCTTCTTTTCCCGCGCTGT